AGGGAATGGGTGAGTGTTCACACCTCCAAGGTCTTTAGAGAGGCACCCCTAGGAACTACAAAGAGAAACCTTAAAGAAAGGGGGTGGCAGCTTTGGGTGGCTGCGTTGGGCCAGTTTGAAAATGATCTTTCCTCACCCCTTCCTTCCCCATCTGGGGAGTTCTCCCCATTCTGGGCCGCCTGCCCAAACTGTATCTTTGAACTATCTTCCCCTCAAGGTTGTTTGCTCCTCCCTGAGCAGCCTCCCTGCCTTATATCTGACCTCTTCTTTGGCACTTCAACCCTTCTACCCCATGAGAGAGCCTGAGCCACCCCACCTTTGTACCTGTTGACCTGCAAAATGAGGGTTGAAATTTGTAAGTGAAGTCTATGTGAGGTAAAATGAGTTCAAGCTCCCAAACGAACCAGAATGTAGCCCGTGAATACTAAGAACTGATGGAGGCTGGAGGGAGGGAGCTTGTATGTTGAAGAAGCCCAGGAAAGCTTCCTGGAGGAAGAGACAGCTAGGCCAGGCCTTGAAAGATGGTAACTAATGCCATTCCCTCAGGGCTTACTATTTAAAAATAGGTGGTACCAAAATGAATAAATAAATAAAATAAAAATAGGTGGTACAATTCCCATATTATAGGAGAAAACGGGTTCAGGGAGGTGAAATGACTCCCCCAAAGTCCCACAGCTCCTCAGAGTTGGAGCCAGCACTCAAACTAAGGCCTTCTAAATCCTGATTCTCATCCACAGTGGGCCAGACTTGGCTCCCTGAAGACATGGATAGAGCTGGTGAGATGGGGAAGGGAAAGGCTCATGGGGCTTCAGTTCCAACTCAAAGGGCCTTCAAAGTGGAGGAAGGGGCAGCCCAGCCAAGGGAAATGGGGTGGGTCCCTGGCTGTGGACCTGGGGCACGTACACCGGCTGGCCCCTTGGCCTCAGTTTCCTGTTGCTTCTTAATGCCTGGGGGCAGAGACAGGGTTCTGGTCTCTGGCCAGCCCTTTGCTTCCAGAGTAACAACAACAGTGAATATTTACTGCGTACTCGTGGAGCAGGCATTATGCTGAGATTCTACGTACATCATTCATGCTCCTCAATTCTATAAAATGGGGCAACTCTATGAGGTCCCTGCATTATCCCCATTTTACAAAGGTACAGAGGGTTCAGTAAACAGCCCAAGGGTATATAATTTTTGAGTGAAATTTCCGGGGTGTGAATGCAGGCACCCAACTATGGAACCTGTCTTAAGTACTTGCTGGTGACCTTGGGCAAGTCATTTCAGGCCTGTGTTTCCCCATCTTGAGATGACATCAAACCGCCCTCTCTCCCTCAAGCTCTGGGAAGAACTCTGTGTTTCTCTTTGTGGATGGGCTGGAGGGCTGGGTATACGGTAGACTTGTTTTGTGCTCAGATTCTTCTACCTTGTTCTAGCTTCTTCTTTTTTTTTTTTTTTAATTGGGGAATTGGGGGCAGGGGAACAGACAAGTTGCTGTTGTTTTGTTCTTCAGTCTAGTTGTGTCACTGGCCCTCATATGTGGGATCCGAACCGGGGCCCTCTGGCGTCCCAAGCCAGTTCTTAACCATTGCGCCACTCGGCCGGCCCTGTTCTAGCTTCTTTAGGTTGCTCTGTTCTCCCAGACCCTCGTCACCCTCCATCCCAGGCTTAATAAAGAGTGGCTGCAGCGACGTCTCCCATGGCTTAGAGTTCATTAGCTGGGCAAGGCCATGCAGCAGGAACACCGAGGCCTACTGGGAAGCAGCCTTGTAAATAATTTAAGTTTGGGCACAGCTAGTTCTGGGGCCTACATCTGGCCTTCAGTGTGCTGCCTGGCCTTGGCCCCATGTTCATACTCCTGACACCAGGTTTAGCTTCATCTTCTTGTTGGATGGCGTCATCAGACAGCCAGTGCTGCTCTTCTCTGAACCTCAGTTTCCTCATCTGACCAGGAAACTTCACCGTTCAGAGTCCTCCTGAGACTCTGTGACAGGTTCCTGTTGCCCATTCCCCTTTAGCCCCTTCCTGCCTGACCACAAACTTAGCTTCTGTCTCACTCTTGCTTTCCTATTGCTTCTCACTTCTTTGTACATGCCATTCTGTCTGCCTGGAATACTCTTTCTGCTCCCTCACCTGGCTACCTTCTTTTTGTCACCTTAGAAGATTCAGCTCAGGTGCCACCTCCTCCAGGAAGCCCTCCCTCCCTGCTACCCTCTCTCCCCAAGACTGAGATACAGGAGTTCAGACAGGGGACTTAGGGACCTGTGTTGAAATCACAACTCAATGGGGCCATGAATGAGATACCTGGTTTTCTATGCTCCTGGCACTTCTGGCTGAATGGCCTTAGGAATGTTAATAGTTTCTCCCTCCCAGAAATGGTATGAGGATTAACTGACATAATGTTCGCAGTAAGCAGTAGGTGTTTG